ATGGAGTACCAAATGAGGGTCCCACTTGGTTCACTGCCTCCCTGTGAGACCTTCTGGCTGAGCTCTCTCTCAGGTAACTTGCTTCCTACTTAGGTGGCACAGAATGGATTGTTTTCCTTTCCATGCCCTGCTGTTTCCATTGATTATTCAAAGGCAACAGTGCCAGGCAAGTTTGGGACAACAGCACTGTTATGGCATCTAAGGGTCAAGCATGAGATGGAGATGGTGTCATGCTTCTTTAGGCTGGCTACCAGAGCACTTGGCTGTCACAGCTGAGGGGGACAGTCAGTTCAGCTGAGAGGGTGCCCACCCCTTAGCCATGGCCATGTGCCTTTCCCTGAAGCTGCTAAGGCACTTGGAGAGAACAGAATCACAGAGGAGCTGAGGCAGAAAGGGAACTCTGGAGATCATCCAGCCCAAAACCTCTGCTCAAAACAAGCATAGCTGGATGAGGGTGCTGAGGATCATGTCCAATTGTGTTTTGAGTACCTCCAAGGATGGAGACTCCATAGCTTCTCCTGACAACCTGGTTCAAAGTTCCAGTATTCTCACAGCAAATAAGTTTTTTCTTACATTTTCATCATTCTCTAGCATAGGAGACATAATTTCCTAGCATAGTCTCTCCATCTGGTCTGTCCACTGGAGAAGGAATGTTGCTATCAACAGCCCCCTTTGGTATGCAGGTCATCTGCTGGCCTGGAGAACAGTGCCAGACTGTCTGAGTCACAGCTCCAAAGGCTGCACCTGATCCCAAGAGCCTGGTGAAGGTCAGAGATGCTCCTTGTTTGCTCAATTGCTCCTTGTTTGTATTGATTTTCAAAGAACAATCTGTGATTAAAACAGGCTCTGGATGCCAGGCTGATGGCAAGTCCTTCCTCAAGTAAGGGACAGCCAGGTGGCACAGCTGGAAGGTGGAAAGCACAGGCACAGAAGGGACATACATCACATAGAAAGCACAACTCTGGTTTACTACAGGGAGGAAGGAATTCATTAGCTAATCAAGTGAATTGGAGATATGCCATGTATTTCTCAGACCTATGCATGCTTATATAAAATAAAGAGTTGTATTTTTTGGATGACAAGTTCCTCAAAGCTTTTTATTTTTCTTAATTGAAACTATTTTTTTGCACCTGAGAAAAAGCCACAAACAATGAACAGCAAACAAATTGTTCTTCAAAGGAAGGGTGATTTAAGAAAGGGTTTAATTAGAAATAAAATTAAAGTAGATTAACTGCCATTTGTTCTTTTTGTTTCTGAAGTTTTCTAACCAGATGAGTTTTGAAAAGTTTTCTTTGCAGCAGTAATAGACCAGACACCAGCAAGCTGAAATACTGACAGCTTTGTTTTATAGAAGGATGCTGTTTAGCCATGCATACAAAAGATCATAAGAATTATTTTTATCTTCAGTTCTTCATTTCAAACCCTTTGACAGAAACTCCACCCACATAGCCAAATACAACCACACCAGCTGAGCATATCTTTGGGTCATGGCACAGTTACCATGGCCACAGTTAACTCAATGCTCATAAATGCTTTATGTGTTGCATACACAACACAGGCTCTGTCAAAAAATCAGCACAAAGCTGTTTTCTAAGCCATAATTTTTTTTTAAATTATGTCCTTTAAGAAGTCTGTCTCTAACACTCCCTTTCTTGCACTGGACCCAGTAAAATGTGACAAAAGGGCTACTCTTCTCTCAAACAAATGGCCACCTTCCCATCTATAACCAACATGGCATGTCCTGTAATACTGCAATAAGGCTGTTGCTTTAAAACTCTTTTTTTATCCTCTTAAATAACCTCAAATTCCAAGTTCATCCTGCTGGCTGTTAGCTATTATAGACTGGGATTGATGAACTCCAGCATGTAGCTCCCTTCTAGCTCAGAATACAGTACAATTTGTACCGAGTTTCCCATTATGACAGGAAATGGACAAGAAGATATCTATCAGTACCTTCAATCTACAAGAATCATCAGGGAGATGTCAATATGGGAGACCAAAGCATACCACTGAAAATCTTGCTATCACTATCCTGTCAAGCTCTCAAAATTACTGCTGCTCTGCTATCTTGTTTGCAAAAAGGCTGACAAGCTCAGAAAACTGACCCACAATGCCAAAAATACCTGACCATGTGCCTTCCCAGTCTACTCTTCCCCAGGACAAAGCTCTGGTTTTGTTGCTGCAGATAAGCAGAAAAAACCTGCTCAGCCCCTGCTCTCACAGCCACAGCTTGCTGCATTTAACACACTTAGAGGGGAGAGAGGGACACCAAGCTTTTGATGGGAGAAGCCTGAAACTCAGGTCGTGCTACAGATGCCTGTGCTTAAAGGCTTCACCTTTAAGCAGCTGCAGCCTCCCCAGATTTTGCAAGCTGTGTAGCATCTGTGCGTCTTCACGACAGCAAGAACACAGTGCCCTGTCGTCCAGCTCCTCTCTAGTGAGTTGAAGCAGAGCACCACCAGGTGCCTGGGTCGTAAGGCTCTTGTACAATATGATTCACCCTCTAGTGGATGACACAGGACCTGTTTACCTGCATAAATTTGGGTAACCACTGGCCAGGTGGGTAAATTCTGTCCCAGTCTAGATGACATTTTGCTCATCTAACAGCTTCTAACAATCAAAAAAGCCAGATGATGAAAGCCAGCACATAAATCCAACATATAGAATCAGTGTAACGTTCTAAAACAAAGGAGTCTTCAACTTACAGTTGCTTACTGTAATGCAGGAAATTAGTAAGTACATGAAACAGAAGATAAATTTAACAAATTTTATTAAATGTACTTATAAATTACATTCCTGTGTGTCATGCATGATTGTATAATTAGATATATCCCATTCTGCCTTGAGTGAAGATGTTAATTCCTCTAAAAGCACAGATGAGAGAAACTGCACCTTGTAGCTTCACAAACTGGTGAAAATTCAGCTTAAAAAAATACAGGTCTGCTAGACCACCTAAACCAAATAAAAAGTTTTGGCTTCAGGTTTCCTTAATTTCCCTCATGAAAAGCCAGACAAGGTTGACATCAGTGTAGTTTTGCCACAGGTAAGGGATTCAAACCCATAATCTCCAGCCACACCAATACTCCCTTGGATGAAGTCGTTCTTTCAAATGCTCTTTTTGATAGTCACCATTTGTACTGCTTTGCATCACCAAGAGGCCTCAAGAGCATGTGAACTACACTGCTTCCAAAAGAAACTGGAACCAAAATTTCCAGATGCTATGTGGAGAATTTCCACAAGGTAGTCCAAAATAAAGCCTTCCAAAACATACATCAAATAGATGCCAGGTCCTCTTCATCCCCACTCCTCCTGGCTGCACTTTGCTGGCACTCAGCAATAAGGGAGATCAGGTACTGCATCTCTACAAGTAGACCCTCAGAAATTGCAGTTCCTTAAGCAAATGAGTTGAGTTTTTGTTTGCACCACTTTGGAGAATGAGATTTACTCCAACCCTTGAGACTGAGCTAAATGCTGAAGGCTTTCTGGTATAGCACCTAAAAGAAGCAAACTGGAAAGTTCACAGATTCAAAAGAAATTTTTTTGATATCTACTTATCTATTCTGGGAAATCAGTGAGATAGTTGGTATTTGCAATCCTAAAAAGTGAAGTGTGCAGGTTACAATGAAATCCAGCAGATGGAGAATCCATTATGTCCTTTGAAAACCCAAGCCTAAAGTGCTTTGAAAACTGAAAATCCACAGTATTTTGTAATGATATCTATGAAGGAAAGTATAAAATTTCATTTACCATCCTGGCAAGACAAGTGCTACAACCAAGAAAAAAATTTCATATATATTTGTCATATATCAGTTTTAAGCTTCCTCTAACAAGCAATATATGTCAAAGACTTGTTCAGCTGAAGAGGCCGAAATTAAATTTGTTGGGCTCAGACCTATGGAACCAGTCCAACAGTGTTTATTCCCTATGTAGAAATTAAACCACCAAGTTTGCTTCTGAAGCTCACAACATTCCACCAGAAAAGTTCCTGGAGGGGGGAAAAAAAAAATCAAGTGCCAGGTATACACAAGTATAGAACACACAACAGCTGCAGACCTGTGGGCTTCCAACTATTCCAGTTCCTCCAGTGAGGCTCTAGAAAAACATCGTTCTCTGGACTGACAAACAGATCACAGGACATGTAATCAGAATACTTCTGTTATCACTGCTCTGGAGGGATCACTGCTCTATTTGGGCAGCACTGGCAGCAAGCTGCAGAGTCCAGAGGGGATCCCTGAAATGCCATTGACTTTGCCAGCTGACTGGAGCTCAACTTGAGCAACACTCTGATCCTAAGACTATAACCACTGAGGGCCTGTTTCCCCCAGCCCTTCTAACTAAGAGCATACTGAAAGCCTGCTGTTTGCCTTTTCTAGCCTAGCAGAAGGTTCTTTCTTGCTTGCCATGCTGGACCAGCTCTGAATCTTGGCAATGTGGCTAGTATCTCCTCTCCTGAGTTCTTTCTGTTCTGACCACAGAGGGAGAAAAGAGCAGTTGAGTGGCTCATTATCCAGCAATTAAGTCCACAGCACTTGCTGCTGTTAATATCGGGATCCACATGAAGTTGGAAAGCTTGCTGACACACCAAGGAGAACATCCCCACTAAGAATAGGTGTGTTCTGCTACTGGGTTGTAGATAGCATTGGATATTTACCTGGCTGACAGAAACATGGGCTCCTGAAAGCATGAAGCCAGAGAAAATATGAGGTTTGTGTGGCTGAGATCAAATGAGTCAGCTACAGTCTGGCAATGCAACACAGGCAATTCTTACTTCCTGTGAGAAGAGAGAGCTCTGTACATAAGATTTCTGGGTCTGTCAGAAGTTCTGTCCTGGTCTGAAGGACAGGGACATTTCACTAATGCAAAAGCTTTTTTTTTTTTTTTAACAGGATACAGCTAAACTATGAAGACTTGAGAACTTGAGAACAGCATTCACAAGAATAAGAAGTTTGAGGAGGTTTTTCTGACAAAGGTCATACAAAGATTGTTTCAATCATCCATCCTGCACAAAAGGCAAAGGACTTTTATTGAGAAAAATACAGTCTGGAAAGATAAAAATGGAAATTAATTCAGCCAAATATTGTGCTATGACAACAAATTGGTATGAACATAAAGTGGTTTTTGGTCTTAAGTCCAGTAATCCCTCCCCTGGCAAATGCTGTGGTAGAGACTGTTATATGAAGCGATGAGTAGGCATACGTTCACTTGTTCAATGAAGGTGGACACAAGCTGGTGTTTTCCACTAATTTCCTTCTCAGGCAAGAAAAAGTTCTCCATTCACTTAATTAATAGTCCAATGTGATATTAGGAACCAGGACTTCTCTAAGCCATTTTCCATTCTTCATTATAGGGCACTCCCTGGAATGATGCAGGAGAAAGCTCTCAGAAGTACAGCAGCCTTGGAGTCAGGGCCTGGATTGTCTCTTTTCTATGGATAGATGGGGCCTTGTGAGCACACAGCAAATGGATGGGCCAGGTTTCAGTTATAGCTTGTCTTGGATGCTGGTAGATGATTGTTTGGGCTCAAACACTTTGCTTGGGTATAAAAGCTGGAGCCAAGGCATGTGGCCATGAAGAAAAAAGGGTCAATATATTGCATATAGATGAAGGCAGTTGTCCCTCTGACAGACTACTTCCTGAACAAACAAATGTCACATGGATCAAGTCCGTTCCTGTCTGTCTGTAGGCCAAACCAATTTTAAGTCCTAGACTTCTCCAAGCTTACAGGTACTTTATACATGACCACAAGCTAAGCCAGCAGCTGCTTAGAGAGTGACCACAGAGCAGAATGTGTCAGAGGAATAGCTGTACACAGCCCACAAAACTTAACCTGCTCCAGGTTTCAGATGCCCGTTTTGGAGCGGATCCAGTTTCGATAGTAAGTCACTCGTGTGTATACTCCTGGTTTATTTCGCTTGCCACAATCATCTCCCCAGCTCACTATTCCCACAAGATACCAGATTCCTCTGGAATTTGCTTGTACCAGGGGCCCACCGGAGTCACCCTAAGGAGAAAAATGTCAACAGACAGAAAAAAAGTAAATGGCCATGAATTCAAATTCTCAAATTCTTCTGTTGCAACTGGCAGGTATTTTTCTGTAGACCTTGGCTGCAATTCAAGTTTCACACAAGACAGAGGTTCACAGCCTATGTCTATTTCACACCCTCACATCTGCATTTTCTCACTTGTGCATTGTATATAAACTTTGTGCAAACTGAAGTGCAGATTCCAGCATATGAGCCTTGAAGCTCTTCATTTGTATCTATCAAGTTCTTGAAACTCATAAACTTAAGATTGCCCAAAGTACATTTTATTTCTAGAAAACATCACCTTCCACCCCACCTATTTCCTTTTTACTGCTACCAATAAGGAGACTTACCTGGCAAGCATCCACCTGCCCCTCCAAGTATCCAGCACACAACATTCCAGCTGTTATAGCTCCACTGTACACTTGTTTCGTATTACAAACCTCAGTATTTATAATTCTCACTTCTGCTTGTCGAAGCTGATTAACACTATAGCCTAGAAGGAGAAGTGGCATTAGAATTTGCAGACAGGGTAAGCAACATAAAAAACTCAGTGATTAGGAGTAGCCAAATTTTCCTGCCACTTTTCTACCATCACAGGCAATTTAGGGCACTAACCAGAAAACATTTCGGGATTAAGAAAGTCAATCGTCCCCATTGCCAAAGTCCTTCACTTGTTCCCAAACATAACTCCTATTATCATTCATCATCACCAGATGCTCTTTAGCGTAATGGACAAATGGATTTTTGTACATATTTCAGTGCTGCATTCAGCTGTAGGCTACATGGTATGTCCTTGCTATCATTGAAAAGACCCATCTGGTTAACTGCAGCATAGCTTTGGGCAATCACTACTCATCCCAAGGGTCTCCCATGAAACACAACCTATACAGGTCAGTGGCTCTCACAAGCAGATTTATAGTCCCATCCTCTCTAACCTCAACAACACAGACTAATTTGAAAGAAGCTCACACAAATCACTGGATTAGGCCTCACTTATGACCAAAGTGAGAAAAAGTGAATAAAATTGTCTTGGTGCATCTATAAAAAATCTGACTAGCAAAAGAACTCATGTCAGAACTAAACCCAGAGGGACTGGAGAACCAAATGTATTCAATCAGTGCTGTGTGTACAGCAACTAAGAAAAACTGCTCTTAAATCCTGTAAGGCTAACCTTCAGGATCTTCCCCCCCCCCCCCGTTTCCAATCCACTGACCAAGCCAGAAAAAAAAAGCAGCCAACTAAGTCCAAAGGTATTTCACTGGGACATGTGCCTATTAAACACAAAGTCTAAGGAACTCAAAATAAACAAAAAACCCCATAAAACTAACATCAGTCTTCTCAGGCACATATGTGACAGGGCACAGGGAGGTAAGAGACACACACCATCATTCTCCAAAGCTCCCCAGCCAGTGACAAAACAGGAAGTGTTGTCTCGGAAAACGTGAGATGCTTCGGGAAGGCAGACACTGTGCACGTCACTCGTGAACTCAATAGGAGAGGCGAGTTCCACAACAGCCACGTCATATTCATGATCAAGGAGAACTTCACCGTATCCCTCATGAACAATAATTCTCCGGACAAATTTTTTCTGTTTTGGAGGTCTCAGCAGAATTCCAAAGCTGGCAGTCCACCTCCGAGGATCTCTTACTCTGTAAGATGTTTGAGGTTATGCCAGAGCCACACAAAACATAACTAAGGGAGCTTATGTCTCTATTTAAGCATCAAAAAGCAGTGTGACCAGGTTTGCCAAAGGGGAAGAGTAAAATTTCATTATCTTTCAGCAGATACAGACACTAGAGGGTCACAAAAAGTCAGAGCAACCCAGAGTCCTAAGGCCTGTAGGAACAGAGAGGTGCTGATGACCTACCCTTTAAAGCAGTGGGCTGCAGTCACCAGCCAGGTGTTACTGATGATTGATGCCCCACAGCGATGGGTCCCATCGAGCTGAATGCTCGCCTGCCACGGCCATTCTCCCTCCCGTGCACGCTGCCCATCAGTTATTCTTTCTACTCCTGTGAAGGAGAATGCCTGTCTTCGTATTCCACAGCCTGTCAGAGAAAAGGCAGCTCTGCTTTAGCTGATTGAAGGCCCTCATGGCTGCAGGAACAGGTGTTAACAAGGCAGGAGTCTCCATCAAGAGACAGCCTTCACCTAAAGCAGGGAAGCCAAGTGCCATGGTCACAAGCGTCTCAGGATGCATGCAGGGTAAGCAAAGAAGTTTGGTAGAGGAGTCATTACTTTTTCATTAAGCCAATTTTCAGATACACCAGCCCATATGAATTCCCATGGCACCTGAAGGCTGTGTATCTGAGACACTGAAAGAAAAGGGATTTTGTCAGGTCACCTCCAGATTAGCCTTGGCAGCAACAAAAAAATAGTGTCCTCTTCCCAACAATTTACTTACAGCCACCGTGCCAACAATCAGGTATTACCCAGCTGAACAAAGTTAGATTCAAACCAGTTAATTCTCAGAGGCCATTTGAAGATGGAAAGCTAAGGTGCAAAGTCTTCAAGAGCATGCAGTGTACTGATGGAGTGCTCTGGGAAGGTACATGACGCTGTCTCCCAGTTTCCAGAAGAGCTCTAAGACCTCAAGGGGGAGCACAACAGGAGGACTGAGAACTTGCCACTCTCCAGGGTTGTGTCACTGCCTTGCCCTAAGTGTGGACACCTCTTCTCCCTCTCCCACCCTCCAGCTTTTCCTTAAAGTTTAGGTCAAATCTGACAGACATCTATTGCCAAACCTTTCTACAGGGAGGAGGGGGGTGTAGGGAAAATGATTTTTGAAGGATTCCAGCAAGAATCATGGCCCACAGCAAAACTGCAGTCCTTCTGCAAACTTGCTAACAGCAGCTCACTACATGCCCCTACTTCCAACAACGAACATTAAAGCAAGTGCTTCCCACCACCAAGCCAGAATGCTTGATTCTACAAATGTAGAGAGCCAGCAAGACTGCAAGAAAATGAGCTGAAGTCTCCCCTGGCTCATGCACTGTCTACTGTTCTAATATCTGCAACAAATTCTATTTTCAACTTGTATCATGAAAGTATAAGGATTTTGTAAGTACAGAACCTCCAGCACTATGCCCCTGGATCTTTACTATAAAGCATTTATACTTACAGTTGTTTAAAAGGTTATCTCCCTTTTCCTTGTTCAACTCTGGAATGAAAAGCAAAGACCACAGTAAGTTTATATCATATGTTATGTGACCCAGCCCAGACTCCCTCCCTGTACCCAGGAAACACAAAGTAAGTGGCTTGCATTGCTGCCTGGAGTGATAGTACAAGAAGTAGTAAATTGCTTTGTTGGAGAAGTTCAGCTAAGCCTCTGTTCCTCACTGAAAGGCCACAGGATGCACCTTTCTTGCCTTAGTTCAGAGCTAACAAAAACAGCAGATGACTGCAAGTGGGTCCAAGCTACATCTACATGTACAATGTGCACAGCCACCAGCAAATCCTACAGGCCTTTGTTCAGGTTTAGTGTGACAAGGTGGCCAGATGAGTCTTCACAAGTCCTCAGGGCTGGAATTGTCCGAAGGTAAACTGCAACATTTCTAATTTCTTTCCTACAAAAACCCCTCTGTCAGCGTCAGATAGAAATCCAAAACCGATTCATGAGAGAGAATTACTGCCCAGTGATCCTCAGGATCCTGTTAGACACTTGCTGCAGAAATCTGTCAAATGACAAAGGAAATGGCAGAGGATAGAAAAGGAAACCACCTCAGTCCTGTATTTTTAATAGCTTGAGAGCTCTGCATTTCAGTGCCTGGTTATAAAGGTTCTTATTCAATTTGCTGTATGTCTTAAAGTTGTTTGTGAACCCCAGATCAAAAAGTTGGTCCTTTTTTTATGAATTGAGGGGGACTATCTCATTCAACACAACTAGGTCACACTGGGAAAGCCTCTGATGCATGGAGAAGAGCTCACACCGGTTTAGTTCTTTCCATGCTCTGTCTTCCAACTTCCCAGGCTGTCAGCCTAACAGACAATTTTGAGAAGGCAAAAAAAAAAAACAAGAATAGCCCATATTTCCATACTAAGGTGTGGCAAGCACATTCTTCTCTCTCTCAGGATTTTTCATAGAGAAACACAGAGGAAAGAAAAAGAAAACAATTTCTATTTCTGCTCCTTGTTTTCCCATGTGGAATGTGTTTGGAGAATTGTTTACCTGGAGTGAGTGCTTGATTGGATTCTGGTGAGGATTGTTTGAGCCTGATGGCCAATCCAATCCACCTGTGTCTGGACTCTCGCAAGAGGATCATGAGTCTTGAGTTAGTTAGACATGGTAGTCAGAAAAAGTAGGTATGTAGTTTTAGTATATCCTTTAAATAGTATATTAATGTATTATAGTATAGTTATAATAAAGAAATCATCCAGCCTTCTGAACTGGAGTCAGACATCATCATTTCTTCCCACCGGGTTCACCTGCATTTACAATACTAAGGTGAAACTCATTAAGCTGAGAACAGCAAAGTGTGAGGAACAAATTCCAAGCTGAAAACACAAACCTAAGGCACTTGCCTGTGAGTCTAATGGAAGACTGGTCAACATTCAGGTCCATCGAGGTTGCTTTCAGCCTTCTGAGTAACACACGGTTGACTTGACCCCAGGTCGTTGCTTCACTGTCAGCAGAGGGAAATTTAAATACCAGAACAACAGATGCAATCACTCCAACAGGATCTGGGCTACAAACCAACAAAAACAAATGGTGTCGTTCTCTTTGCCTACTAATGCTCCTGGTTCTGCTTTTTACTGCCTGCCTTCTTTATACGAGAACAGGTCTGGTCTGCACAGATGTCCAGAACAAATGGCATGGCTGTGCTCAAGTAAACAAAGATGATGACATGTCAGCAGGGAGCAAAAGCTTCTTGCTATGACAGTGATCAGAGGGAATTTTCTGGGAACAGTTAGGGAAAGGGTAATCAATCTGCAGAAGTATAGGGCCAAACTTCTCTTCCTTGCTGACCTCTAAGGGTAACTGAATCCTCAGTGTTGTGAGCACTAGAGGACAGCAAAAACCAGACAAGGCTTAGTCACCTTGCTGGTGTAACCCAAGCAACCAGGAATGCTCTGTATCATCATCAAGTAGGAAGAAAAGTATTTAGCACATCCCTGCTTATTCCTGGCCTTCACATTACTTACCTTAGACTGACCACGTGGGACTTGATGTATCTTTTACTTAGAAAGGACCCCCTGAATACTTCAGATATCTGTTAAAAGAAAAGAGTGTGTTAAAATACACCTGCAATAAGTACATGCTTTTACAATATAACAGTCTCATGAGCCTCTGAAACACATGAAAATGACTTCAGATCTCTACCTCTACACCAAAGCTACCACTAAATTTCCATCAGGGACTGCAGATCCAAAATAAACAGCTGAGTTGGCTGATTTCACTATCCATTCTGCTCTGTGCTTGCCAGTTCCACCACAGGGCTGAGGAGCAGACAGCACCTGTGCTTTCCATCTGCATGTGCAAAGTCAGCTATGCATCTTTAACTCACAACAGCAAGGTGTGTAAGGTAAGGCCAGCCATGTGAGGATGAGGCACAATCACCTCTGACTATTTTAAATTACACATTTGCAGAACTCTTCAGCATAGTTCAGGTGTAAGCAGAGAAGCTTTTATTTTACCACGGTTTCAATATCTTCACTTAGGTTCCTGAATTCATCTGTAGTTTGCTTTTCATGCTGAGGATTATACTTGACATTGGTGATTAGGAAAGATGCATTGTAATATCTGTCTTGATCTACAGAGGAGAAAAAGAAGGAAAGGTAGCTGATCATCTTTAGTACAATTCAAAGATGCACAATATCTCACAGAACATGGCACAAGCAAGGCTCCCTGGCCCTGGCAATGATCCTGTCAACAGTGAAATTACAGCTTTAGCAGTACTTTGGTAAAAGGGGGACCATCCTGTTGCTCCATGGACCATCTAGGGGCTCATTTCTTCTTTGACAACCATCCCAAGGAGCTCCAAATTACACCCACTACATTTCCCTAGGGTCCATCTTCTTGGTGGCCTAAAGTGAGCATAGCACGAGATAAAGGAGCCCTTCCAACTCAGCCACATCCCCTCCTCCCCAGCTGCACTCTGGCACATTCCTTTCCCTCAGAGAGGCATGTGGGGCAGAGCTGTTTGTGTCTGTTCAGTGTTAATTTTAAAATCTAATTCTTGGGTGTGTGGAAGAGAGGGGCCCTGTAACACAGAGCTGGCAAAAAGCAATGCTGAGCTGTAGCTCTGCCACTGTTCCTTCTGGTGTCCTAGTGCAAGCCACAGCCTCATCGAGTCTTGGCGAGCTGAGATGGCCACATGATTAATTCCATTCCAGCAGGAAAGCATTTCAAAAAACTCACACTGCTATCTCAAAGACTGGGAACGAAATTACTCAACTTCATTCATGAGGCAAGTGACTGGGAATGTAATTAATTGTCTTCAAGTCATGAGCCAAGATGGCTGGACTTGGTGATGTTAAAGATCTTTTCCAACTTTAATGGTTCTATGACCTGCTACTGAAACTGGGCTCTTGGCAGCCAGAACTGAGTCCTGACCTCTGAAAACCTAAAGCTCTGCCCTCTCTCTTTCTGGAATATTCTCAGCTAGAAGGGCCAGGTTGAGTTTCTGCAAAAACCCCACTAAAGACTAAGCTTACTATGCATCCTCTGGCTTATACAGAAGAATGTTCTCCTTTTGTCAGTCAGTGGAGACACTGGATACCAGTGGAAACACCAAGGCAAGAAGCAAAAGTTAAAACTGAAATCTCTGCTTCAAATAAAGCATATTTCAAGTATTCTTACAGGTCTTCAGATCAATCTAGTTCTCAAATAGCATTTAGAAAGTTCTCATATGAGTTTTATACCAGGGGCAAATTGCATGCCTAAATCATAAGGCAGGACCACAGTAGCAAGTGAAACACAACAGATTACTGAAAGCTTGTCACAACAAAATAGCAGGGCACTTACCGTGGCACAAAAGAAATGTAATCAAGCCAATGATGAGGGCTAAGCCTACTATCACTGCCACAACAATGACTGCGATCTTCCATGGCTCTAAGCGCCTTCCTGCTCTGTCCATCTGGGTCACTGCCTGTATTGAAGAAAACAACATGGAGAAATTCAACTCTAGTACAAAGACAATAGCTCATCCAGAATCATATCTGGCACAGCTTAGCTCAGCTGAAAAACTCCACAGAATGAAGCAGGTTGGGAAGGACCTCTGGACTCTGAGGGCCTGACAGTTTAAACTAAGCCCCATTAAAGTAGGTTGCTCCAGACCTTGTCCAGTCAAGATTTTAGTATCTCCAAGGAGAAAGATAACTCAGTCTCCCAAGATCTCTGGTCCAGTCACTGCCCATCCTCATGGCAAAAGCTTTTCCTTTATATTTAGTCAGAATTTCCTGTGTTCTAACTTGCCTCTGTTGCCTCACATACACCCAAAGAAAAAGTGCAGGGAACTGCTAGTAGAGACAACTTCACTTCAAGAAATTGATTTCAGGTGCAGCTGACTGCCCACATAGGCACTTAAACTGAATATAAATTTAATAATTCATGACTGACAAAATAACCTTCGCCCCAAGGATATTCTAGGCAACCAGAGATGCGCTTAGGTAGTTATTGTATTTGGTTCTATTTAGTTGGTATGAGTCGTAACATCTATTGGGTTCATTTATTTAGGTTTGGTTTATTGAGGGTTTGGGGCTCCAAAGCCACACATATACTGAACACAACCACATCCTGTCTCTTCCCAGACATCTATAGAGAAAGAGGTACTTGTGTGTAAATGTGACATGGCAACAAGATCCAGCGTGCTGTGAAAGCCACACTCTCTGAAAGCCACAAGGAGACCAGTAAAATGATTGAGAACTTGACTCACACATGGACAGAGGCACAGAAGAGATTTTCCTCCACTTATGTCCTCCAGTGTAGCATTAAGCAACAGAACATTAGGAAAACTGCATTTTTGTGCACGCCCTCGGTAGCTTTATGGTAGGGTGATGCAAAACCCGATGCACGATTATTAGAGATCCCAAATAATTCCGCAGCACACCATGTGGTAATTGCCACACCACATACTGAGTCTCTGCACCATGGTCTGCATTAGTACATGCTGTCAGAAAAACACTGGAGATAATCTCTCAGATATCCTGGAGAGACAAATGGCAGCAGCCAGCCCTCAGGAGGAGGATGGCTGGCTACTTACACCCCTGATCCATGCTTGTATTGCTGTGAACCAGACATGCTTAACAGTTTTCCACTTTTCAGACCTATGGCACAGCCATGTCTGAGCAAAATCTGAGAAGATGCAGGCAGGAAGAGGAAGAAAAGCAGGCAGAGAGAATAAGTGTTTGCAGGTTTTCTGACTACAAGGTAGAAAAGAAGAAATCACAGTGAAAGCAGAGCAGGGTAACAGCAGAATCTCCATCTCAGGAAATGAGCTGAATGGGCAGATAAGCAGTAAAGGTAAGATTCTGGTGCACAAATCCAAGCAGCAAAAGGCAGTGCAGTGGTGAGAAGGAGGATGGTGTTATATCCTCTGCTGTGATAGGGAGAAAACCAAGTAAAGCCACAAGCAAGAAATGGCAAGAAAAACTCCTAGTTCTGAGCTTTTCTGAACAGAAAATAAATAAATAAATAAATAAATAAATAGCCCCCCGCCCCCCCCCAAAAAAAAAAAAAAAGCCAACAACAAGATAGCACTACAAAGAAAGGAGATAAGAGATCTGCAGGCACCAAGGGTTTATTCAGCAAGAGACAAGGAAGAAAATCTTGGTTTTGGCTAGTGGGAGGGGGCAAATTTTTTGCCCATTCAAAGAGGTGGCATACTGGAAAGAAAATGTTAAAATAGAGGAGATTCAGCCAGCATCACAGCTGCAGGTAGTCACAAGCAGCATCTTAGTGTTACCAAAACATACAGGACAGGTGACCAAGATCAAGTCTTCTCCTTCAGAGTCACATGCTATGGAGAGAGCCAGTACCTCTCCTGCTGCTGCTCCTACTTTACTGGGGCGAGTTCTGCTCTCGCAGTGCACAGCCCAAGTTTTCCCCCACCCGACTGGCTCAGTTTCCTGATGTCAAGGCTGCAGGGCAGTTTATAGGAGTCTGAAGACCCAGACTGGCCGAGATAACTCCTTTGCAAACTACAAGTTGCAATAAGCACATTAACACCCACTAGAACTCAACTGGCTCCACTAGGGCCTTGACTTCTCACCATCTAGACTTGTGCTGTATACACTGTCCATCAGCTCTAAGGGTTTAGCAGAAAAAGAGATTCAGATAAAAACCTAAAGCCAGTGGAACTGTCATGGGCAGTCAGTTATTACCCTTGAGGGCAAGCCTCTTGGCTAATCAGAACAGCCCACTATGGCAACATGCTTCTGACCCTCCTCAGTAGCCACATCTCATGCTTGAAAGAGGCAGCTTTTGCATCTCACTTTGCTCTCCTCACTGGAGAGCTTTTGTTTCCAGCCTGAGCCCCTCCCATCCATCTCAATTAGACTGATTCCCTGTCCTACAGCCGTACCCACCCCAAAGGCTTCCACCTGAATGGCAATTAGAGGCAATGCCTCCACTGCCCTTGGCACATAGAACACACAGCATAGCCCTGGCAGTGTAAGGCTGACTTTGCAGATACTGAGGCAAGTGTGCTCTTGGATCGTAAACACTGCATTTTGTGAACTGAATCCAGACAGATTTCCTCAAAACATGGCCTTATGCCAAAGCTACAAAGTTTAAGATTAAAAAACCTGAGCATCTCCTTGCCTGTGGGACTCATGCTCTCACAAGCAGCGCTGTCTTTCCAGCCATGTCTCTATTTCCTTTTTGTGCAAATACCAGCTACAGCCACAAACACACTCCTTTTTCCTCCAACATTTCAGAGGTGCTTGTTCTCCACAAGTCACACAGAATTGTAAAGGGAAACAGAAACATTAGGAAGTGCTGTAGTGCTGAGGGAAATGGAAATATGGGAGATAAGGAATAAAGCCCTATGCCACTTCTGATACTGATTTCACGTAACATTTTTTTTAAGGAATAAGTTTAAAGCGTTCATATCATAGAATCATAGAATGGTTTGTGTTGGAATGGACTCTTAAAAATCATCTAGTTCCAACACCCTTGCCATGGGCAGGAACTCTTTGCACTTGACAAGGTTGCTCAGAGCCCCACCAATGGGGACCCACCATGGCCCCAGTGTGGCCATGAACACTTCCAGCCAAGGATGGGGCATCCACAACTTTTCTGGGAAACCTGTTCAAGTGCCTCACCACCTTCACAGTGAATAATTTCTTCACAATATCTCCCACAAGTCTCCTCTTCTCCAGGCTGAACAGTCACAATTCTCTCAAGTCTGTCTTCACAGGAGAGCTGTTCCAGACCTCTGATTATCTTCACAACCCTCCTCTGGCCTTGCTCCAAAAGGTCCATGTCCTTCCTATGTTCAGCTTGTCCAGAGCTGGATGAGTACTCCAGCACTCTGCAAGAGCAGAGTAGAATCACCTCCCTCAAACTGCTGGCCACAGTTCTTTGGATGCAGCCCAGCTTACAGTTGGCTTTCGAGGTTGTGAGTGCACATTGCTGGGTCGTGTTGAGCTTTTCATCCACCAACACCCACGAGGTGTCAACCAACATCCACATACAAGTAATTAATTTGCATATAGGATATACAAATTAAAGTGGAAATATCTCTTCAAAACTGAAACACTTCCATCCCTTTAGCAGGATGTTTTTGACTTCCATCTTGCTAAGTAACAGAATAGGAAAAAAAAAAAGAAAAGCCTTTTATAATGGCAGCACCAAGATTCATCAACGCCCACAGTGTACAGTTAACCAGTATCCTTCAACTGTAATGTCTGTGTGTGGGACCCAGCTCAGTAGCCTCCATGTTTTGCAGTTTGTTTGGTTGGTTTTTTTTTTCCTATTTTGTCTCACAGCTAGGCATGCCTAGCTCTGCTGAGACAGAGGCTAGGATGGTTACTGAGAGACAGCTCAGGTTATATCCAGTTCATTATGCATACACATTACACCTCCAGTCAGCTCTTCACTCCCCTAGCCTTTTGTGCTATGGTGCCACAGAGGGCAGGACTACCAGAATAACCACCTTGACAGGGATTCCTGTGCTTGGGACATCCTACTCCATAGTTATATAATTTAGTGGCAGGTGGATCCCCCTGTTTAGGAATTAGATATGGTCTTCTCTGCACTCTAGTAACCAAGCAAATTCTGCTCCACCCAGTGATACTCAGTGGAGAGAGAAACACTGATTCTCTGCAGTGCTGATCAAAGCCTTCCACCATGGATACAACCTTTCTTTCTTCCTGTAGCAAAGAGACATTGCTTAACAAACAAGCATTCTCCTGAGAAGATTCCAAATATCACGGCTGTCTGGTGTTTTGCACAGCCTCACGTTTCTTGTTTCCTTATATCACAGGCTTTAACTTTTTTTACTGCCCAAACTCCAGTAAGTTGCAAATTAACTCTTAGCAGGGCCACACCAGTGCATTCACCCTCTAGCATGAATGAGATAACTCAAATTCCACAGGAGCAAACCCTAACAAGAGATCAGACCCAGACATCATCAGGAGAGCTCAAAGGCCAAGTCCTCTCTGCTCTTAAAACCACCAGCTTGTGGTCTATATCTGGCGGCTTTCAGTCTGCATTGAATTAGAAGTTTCAAGCCCAAGATCCTACAGTTCAGTACAGACCTGCTTATCTTGGCAATACTATCGTGAACATTAAACCTCCTCCAGCAATCCGTGTTCTCATTTAAAATATGCGTCATTCACAAGGGGCCCAAGATAATCCACGAAGACAGCAGCATCTCTAAAGTTCATATCACAGCTAATTGGGGTTGGGAAGAGCAAACTCTTAAATCTCCTAGCTTACACACCTTGGCTCTGAAACAAAAAATGTGATCACTAAAACGTTATTCTGTACCGGAAAAAAAAAAAAATCCAAAAGCATTATTCTGAAAATAGATCTATTTTAATGTAATTAAGTATTTAAAATGCAGTAAAGTTATGTTTAGAAAGAGATATATTAAATCAAACCTCAATACAAGATATTTTAATAAGTGAAATACAGCAAGAAATAAAGAAACATTAATAGTTATTGACTTATTATGAAGAAGAGTTATACCAAAATTTTACAGAGCTAAAATTGGTCTTCCTTGTGAATCCAATGAGAAAGCACATAGGATTTCAGGTTGGACTTCTGATCAGCCCCAAATTAATTCTCTACCTTTGAATTTGGAACATTTACCCAAAAGTGAAAGACAAGCAAAATACATAGGTGACAAGCTGGTTTTCCTCTTATCCTGTAACCAAAATTCCTAAAAGGTTACTATATTCATTCACAATGCAAGTGATGCAAGTTCAGCTCCCACCTCTGCCTGACAGGGTTTGATTCACTATATTGAGATTATTAATTTCTTCTGGTTGAGTTACCATTTGTTATCAAAAGCTTCATCAAGAGCAATACCGGAAAACTGATCAGACAAGAAAAGAAAGTGCAGCTTTATCATATGGCCCTAGTCACCCAATTTCTGGATGAGCAGGGAACAGCTACCCTGTTCTGCTTTACAGATTTCCCCTTGATATTTTTTGGCTTCTTAAAACAAGACCTCATAGCAACCCAAACTAGATTTGCTTTTAGATTAGTCCAAACCATGTTTTCTTGTACCAGCTCTTTACTGAAAGTGTTTTGCCACGTTCCACATAGAAAAAAAACATGCAACTTCTTCTGTGTGATCTGCTGCTGTCTTCTTAGAATATATTTATTATTATATTTTTTATTATTATACTCCTGCCAACTGATAATCCAGTATTTTCAGAATAGCTAGTGGCAGAGTTTGGGTGGCACATCTGATGGGGAGGGTCTCTCCACATTTATAGTCATGACCAGTTTTCCAGCCAATGGATTCAGGTGTATGCTACAATCATTCTTCCTAGCAATAGGACCTTTCACAAGACAACTGAACAGATTAATCTGCTGGCCTGGTGAGCATGATTTAAAAATCCAGACTAGGTCTCTGGAGCCATCTACCTTGGCAGGGTGCTTGGGGATGGCAGCAAATGGGATACATCTGGCTAGGAGGCTTTTAGGAAAAGCACAGGGCCTCAAAGCAAGACTTGCTGATTTCACCCCCACCTTTACCACAAACAACCACACCAACCTGGCACTTCTCCTGTGTCCTCATGGCATACTCAGGACACGCACGTCTAAAAGAATGGGACAACAACCTCAGCTGCTGTGAGAACTGAAACAGAAGAAGCTGGTGCCTGCCTAAGTACTGCCAGACCCTTGTTTGGATGAGGCCAGTTACCTGTTACCTACCAGTCTCAATTACTCAATATTTGATATCTCCTAAAGCATTCTGATACAATGAAAGACTTCCAAACATTGAAGGTATCTGCTGAGGGAAATGAAGTGTGCGTTTTTCTATGCGTCATACTAAATCAGCTTGATCTCCCCACACCCTTGAACAGCCCACAAAAACAGTAGGTGCTGCATGCCACCTCTCTGCAGATAAAGCATCAGTAATGTATTTGCCACTTACTAATTGAGCTCCTCCCCTTAACCATCCAATTTTACCGAGGTCTTGCTGCTTCCCCAGACCACACTTCAGCGGGGTAAAGACAACTGCTCCAAACCCAGCTCTTGTGATTTGCTTCAAGATTCAAGGGTAGCATTCAGTCTTTGGGACATCCTAACTCGGAGCTCCCCAGCAACTATATCCATGATGCCAAAATGCTGCTCATACAGGCTTTCCTGGTAATCCAATCACCTCTGCAATCAGCACAAAAGGTTTGCTGTTCCTTACTCTCTCATCCATTTTGCGTGCAACTGTTTGGAAGTTTTGAGCTCTTTATTCATTAGGATAGAGGTACCTCCTATACCACTACACCAGTCTGGGGATGTAACTGTAATGCCAAGGACTGATATTCTTTTATCACTTATTTGTCTTTCTACAGCTGACTGCCACAGCAAACCTCTTGAGACTCTCACGTTCTGAAACAAGCTTTAGCAGAAGTAGGAGGACTACTCACTACATAAAGACTTAAAATTTGCATGAACACTGAGAGGCCATCTCATTGTAAAGAAAATGTTAAGTACATGGCCACTGACTGCAATCAGTTTAGGATAAATTTCTGTAACTTTAACATCATCTTTACCTCTCGGTTTTCCCCTTCCAGCTGTGTTGGTCATAGACAAGTATCTGTTAGTTTGGCAGTCACAGATTATAGCAGTAGATCTCTGCTTTCCAGCCCTCAAAAATAGCTCTGCCTGTCTCTTTTGTCCTTCTTTGATTTCTTGAAATCTGCTTTAAAAGCAAGACACCACACGAGCAGTTACTGTCTCTGTTTGATTTTCACTCCAACACAGGGTGGGCAAAATGGCCAGGTGCCAGATTTGGTGTGTTTCCAAGCTGATTCTGCACAGATTAACACTTCACTGGCTGCATATAAAGTCTATTAAAATAATCAAAAGCACAAGAAGCTACTTTTACCAACTGTAGTCCGCTTGTCCTCTCGTCCAGCAGTTGTGCCTACAACACATTCTAACTGCACTAGCACAAATGGTATGTCAGTCAGTACAGTGTGAGATGACTCTCACCTGCCCACCACATAGGCCACCTTGATTTGCCATTCTGTGCTGTAGATGAGCTGGAGAATTCTCAGAAAACATGCATTTTGGCTGAGGAGAAAGGCTCACAGAATCAGAAGGATTACTGATGCATGAAAGGCAGATGAAAACAGAAGCAAGCTCAGAACTAGTGTCATTCTCCCCACACCCTCAGTGGAAGCTCAAACTGCCCTATAAATCTACACATGGTGCAGCCACGCTGCCCAAAATACCAAGAAGCAAGCCAAAAGTTTGTGGCACTCACCTCTGCCTACCACTGAGAGGTCAGCAAGAAGCTCTTCTCTCTGGGAGATCCACCGTCCCGAGCACCACAACACACTGTGCAGCATCTCAGCATAGACTTGAGGCTTTATCTCCTGAATTAAGAAAGAAAGGAGTCATAGGCAAGTCAGAACAAACAAGTCCAGCAAGTCTCAGTGACAGAGGCTTACCCAGTAGCATGATTCCTCCCCTAAAACAATAACAATACACTTCTTTCATCACACCTTTCATCCAGGAATCCCGAAGCCTTTTCAGAGCATTAGTTACACCCTGCAACACCCCAAATCAGAAGAGCCATGAAAATTTTGCAAGGACGCAGAGTTTATTTCCTTCTTTGGTATAATTAAGAACAAATCAGAAATCGTGGGAAAGACCAGTGCAGAAAATTTGCATGTTCAGGAGACAATGTTCAGTCCTAGGCTAGGTATGGAGCTGACAAACTGATGCAGAATCAAAGGTATGTGCCTCTTAACTCCCTTGAACTTCCTTGAAATTGGTCATTTAGCCAGAAAAGAATCCATCCTCATAACAACAGCTAAATTCAATTTTTTCATTCTTCTTTAACTCTTTAGATGATAATTTTAATCTTGGTCACCTAACTACACATAGACTTCTGTCCTGAAAAAATTCTGCTGTGTCATAAATGTTTGTGATATAAATATTTTCAGGTTGTAAATAAGAAGTTCTACTTGTGCTAGTGACAGCAAGTTAGCTGGCGAACAATCCACAAGCTCAAACTTGTTTCTGAACCTTTGAGTTTTCTCAGTACCACTAAACTTACTAGAAGATGTATGTGACCACATAGCCTGACACACAGATTTGTTTCAGAAGGACAATAAAGAAGACAGACCTCACAACGAGATACACGAGTGGCACACATTTTCTTCCGTCTACTGCAATAAACTTTCTAACCTCTAGGGACTCATTTCCTCCACCTTAATGACCTCCATTTGACCCCTCTGCAGCTCAGGGATCACCAGCTTAGTAACACGCTGATGCAAATACATCTTACATGGCTGGAGCTCTTCCTGCCACCTTACATCAAGTCCATTGCCAAGTAACAGGAAGACTGCCTTTGGAGAATGTCAGCTTCTTTTGAATGAAGCATAAGCTAAAGATAAACCTCAGCTTCTTGTAATTTGGATTCAATGTCTCAGCATAATTTGTTACAAAAGATGACAAATACTGTTGTTAATGACACATTTGATGTAATTGCTTCTCAATTCTTTGACTGGAAGCTGCATTGCCATCCCATATAGGAACACCTGAGTCAGTCCAGATGTGCAAGCGAAATGCAGTCAGAAGCCTAGCTAGAGGGTGACAATTTCCAGGGTAAAGTATCAAGTGTCACATGATTACATGACCTGTGCATAGGTGATGCAAAGACATTAATTCCAGGTATCCCATGATCCTCAGACATAAGAGTTCTGCCTCGTGACTTGATTGTGCCATAAGTGGAAGAATGTACAACACAGAGCCTTCATGGCAACGCTTGTAGAGTCTCATCTGCAGGGAAAAAAAAACCTATTGCTGCTTAAAGAAAGAGGTTAAACTGAGGATGCCTTTTTAGGGCACTGAAAAGCTCCTCCAGGCTTGATTTCATGGCAGGAATGCACTAAACTGCTAAATAATGTGAAAATCCTGGTCAACAGTCCCTCTCTATGCAAGGTGCCTGAGTTTCTTCTTTTACTGGCAGTAACTCCTCGCATCAAAAAGCTCATATGAGAAAAAGGGACAGACAACAGCCACAAGCGGTTCCATTGCCAGATACCAAACAGGTTTGACTCCTGATGCCGGAGACAGTCTTCTTATGTACGCTTTTCTGCTACACTGCAACACTTAAAAAAAAAAAAAAAAGCCTGGAGGAAAAGTTAGGAAATGCTGGGAAAGAGGCAGAGGTTGTAGCCCACCTGGGTGCCACACAAAATAAAGAGGAAAGATACTGGAAGTTGAACATAAAATGTCAAAGATCAAACCCCCCCACCAGAATCCAGCTGGTGAGGAGACACAGTTTCAATTATTGGTTATAGCAATGGAGTAAGGAAGTGAGGCTCAGGATCACCAGAGACTGGGGAGCTTCTAGAGTGGATTAAAAACCCAGCAAAGGATGAACAAATTTCTGCTTAAAGTGAGAGGGAAACAAGACCTGCACTTCACATCAGGAAGACTACACAGAAGCTTCAAACTAATGAGTAGAAAGCAGACTGGTGCACACAGGAAACAAGGTATCCTGTTCTAAATCCCATGGTAGACACTGCAACCTCAAGCAAAGAATGTGATAGAAATTACACAAAAATAACATAGTAAAAAAAGTCTGATATGAAAAACATAGGGAGAGCCAAAACCATGGTTTCCATGTTCCACAGGATTCTCCAACACATTGATGGCAGACCCAGAATGCTTACCCTAAAAAACGACTTGGACACTGCATGCATAAAGGAAACATGGTGGCAGGAAGGCAATGGGATGTGGAAATCCCAGGATATCATTCCAATTTTAATTACTCTGAAGTCAAATGTGACCCTTTTACATTGATCACCTAGACAATACTGGATTTCTGGAGGTTGTAAATAACTATTTCAGTAACAGGCAGCTAGGAAACCCACAAAATTGGAAGCAACTCCTGATTCAGTCCTGACCAGTTTAAACCATTATTTTATCATCTTTCTGTCTGAACTATATCAGCATCACATTCAGCATTTCTAAAGACACCCCAAACCAGATCAACTACTGACATGCTAGATTTCAAATACAGAAATTATATAAAATTATAAAAACCCCCTAAAAGAGGAACTTTAAAGTGCATCTTTTCTGGAGGCAGACCATTTCAAGAAATAATGTTAGTCTCAGAGCAAACGCATCCTGCCTAGTAAAAGAAAATAAAAAAGCCTTGAGGAAGACTAAAGCCAAACATAATGGCATCTAAAAAACAACAAACCCATTTGGAATAAGTAAATAAAATAAATAAATGATAATGCTTTTTCTGAAGCCAGCTCACTATCATAGGAATCTCTGCTGTATTCATAAATTGTCTGGAAAAAAAAAAATATCGAGATGATAATCATACAGTAACTGTCCAGTTATCACAGTACAGAGAAAAATTACAACATGCTGCAGAAACATAATTTTGAGATACCATATACCATTATGAACTTTGGAATTAAAAAGTATGAAGTGACACATATTTAAAAAATCCCCAGTCCTAACCATACCCCCTAGGTGTCTGGAGTCGAATTATTATTCCCTTCAGAAATAAGACTGAGGCCATTTCCTATGAGAATATCAACTCAGAAGTAGTCAAAAAAAAAAAAAAAAAAAAAAAAAAAGGGGAAACCCAAAAAGAATGCTAGAAACTACTTGTAAAGAGAACAGAAAACAAAGTTATATCCCAGTATTAATAAACATGATGCCTGCATCCTGACTATTGCATTAAATTCTGGTCCACTTGCCCATCTCAAAGTTTATACAGAGGAACAGGCAAAGAAAACAGAATAGCTGATCAAAGGAACAAAGTAGTTTCTATGTATGGGATGCTCAAATAGACAGGTTTGTACCACCTGACAAAGTGATAGAAAGGGATAGGGGTCTAGAGAGTACTATGTGAAGCAGTGAAAGTGATCAGGAAACCACTGTTCACAGTTTCTCCTCATACAATTACTAGGGGACTTCAAACAAGAGTGGCCAATTTAAAATAGGCTCAAGAAAATTCTGACATATAAAAAAGAGGTCAGGTATGTGACTCTTTGCTTCAGCGTACATAAAATATAAACTATTTTGCACATTCAAATGAAATAATCAGTTTTCTGGAAGAAAATGCCACATAGAGCTCTTAACGTGATGATTCAGCTTTGCGATCCAAGAATTTCCTGACTCATAAAACTGGAAGTTTAAAAAACACAGTCAGGAAGGACCATAATCTGACTGCTGTATCTCATATTCTCTAGGTGCCTTCCATTGATTACTCCACAAGAATCTAGTTAATTTAGCTGCCAGGCATTCCTTCATAACAATAACAAAGTATTATTAATCCTTTGATAGAACAACCAACAGACTGGAATCGATGTTTTCCCCATCTGTGTTCTGAGCAAAATGTGGTCTGACCCACCTGCCTTGACTAGGAGCCACAGGAGGGACATATTGGTGTCTTTTCTTTTAGACAGCTGAGGAACCATGGCACACTTCAATTGGAAGGGTCCTACAGGGATCATTTAGCCTAACTGCCAGGAAGCTACAGGCACTCTGCTCTCAGCACCTGACAGTGCATTAGGCTCCAGGTACAGACAGGTTTGTGCTCTGAAGCAACAGGCATTCCTGGCTACAGGCTCTTTGTGTGGTCTGCACCTGATGACACATCAGACTCCAGAAAGGGGCTGTGGCTGCCCAGTTTAGCTGGACAGAGTTTCTGATCTGAGAGAGCTTAAAGAAAAGCACCTGCACATGACCAAAATTTGCCACTTGTTCTTGAAATTCATTTCAGACATACAGTATTATTTTCTTAGATCCTCCCAAAATTTGTCAGGTGAGGTATGGTATACAACAGGCGCCCACCTGAAGTCAAGGCAGAAAGTTACTCTTTCTTTCACATGGGGACACTGAGAAAACATTAATGCATCAGTGATTGATAAGCCAAGTATGCCTTTCATCTTTTCTCCTCCAAAACTGTCCAGTTACCAAGACACCTGCCAAGGAAATAAAATCCTCTTTATTCATAAGAATTCTAAGTTAACATTAGAATAGAAAACTCCTGAAAGAATACTTGCATCTACAGAGGCTCCTGCCTGACAAATTCCTTTTCCTTCAAGAAAAAGTCAACACAGATACAACTCTTGAGGCACACACCTCACCACACCTTTGTAGACACAAGTTTAGAGAGTTCAGTCCTTGCACAGAGCACTGCAACAAGTTGTAGTCTACAGCCACAGTTGGGAAAGAAAGAAAGGCTGCCTATGGGATGGGAAAACTGAAATGGAAAAGGTAAGATCTGTATAATTAATGTCACACAAAATATTGCAACGCAGATCTCTTGTTACCCATTACAAATGCAAGTCCAAATTCCATAGTTTATGGTTTTCCTCATGGTTGCACTCAAGTATCT